GTTTGTCTGCAAAGCTTTCTGTCTGAGTCGACTATTGTCTTGTGGTTTGAGGTATCACCCCAACTCCAGCGTTGTCCTGCTTTCAACCTGGGATTTCCGATGTGCCTTCTATATATGGCAACTCTATGGTGAATTTGAATTCCTTTCTCAACATGTTGGAATTAACACCAATATCATCACCCATTCTCTTACAAGTCCCCACAAATCTCTTATTAGTTTCCGAAGAGTATTTATTGAGTAGTAGTGTGTTTCAGCTGCTTATTTAGATTTTCTGGCTTACTGGTCAAACTTCCATTTCGATTACTCAAACATTTTACTGAGTATACCTCATTAGACATGGTGTGAGACGCTGTGAAATCCAAGTGTCTATTTCAATGAGTTGGTTTCCTGCAAACTCTGGAATCTGGTATCTGGTATCTGAGTTGCCATGTTTCATTCACCTGATTTCGTCTCCAGTGCCATTTCAATTGGCTTGCTCAAAAAGAGGCTCATCACTTTAGTGAGTCTGTCTTTTGAATTCGACTCCTCTGATTTCTCAGTGTACTCACCTACTTCAGTGTGTACGCGTGAATCAGTAGATTGGGTGGACACTTGTACAGTTTTGTTTGCATTCTTGAGCCCTGTGTTAAATACAGTAGTGACAGTTCGGCTGAGAGATACATGTTTGGTGCATGGCTTCTCAATTTCGATTGAACTCACTCACTTCAAAAGTTGAAGGTGCTGAGTATAAGTCAAGCTGGTGATGATCTTCATCAAATTCGCTGACAGCTGATTGTGTATAATGTCTAATGCAACACTTCCGTATAGGCAGTTATGCACAGGAAATTTGCATTACCATGTTCATGCACAGAATTTCAGCATTCGTGCGAACTGTGAATATCATGCTCAGTTTTCCACAACGGTGGTTTTGCGTGTCGCATCCACTTTAGTGTCGTTCGCTAGATAATTTCTGCGAATTGAAGTGGCATATTATGCAATTGGCCTTGAAATTAAACATTGCTTTTCCCAACCGTATGAACGTTACGGAAATCAAATTGGATTGAGATACTTTGAGGAATAATGCGTTGTGTTGTCGGATTAAATTAGTGTTCATGTGTAACTATGCAGTTTGAAGACGATATCAGCAGAGATGATCACACTTGAATGAATGCTTTCGGTTATTTTCACTGTGCGATTAGCTGTTGATGATGACGAGTCAAATGAGTCAGGTCCCCGCTGGATGAAAATACCTAGAGTTTCACTTATTTGGGATGATGAGTAATTGTTGTGTGTTGGCTTTATTCTTGCTGCATACTTGATCTGCGACAAGAAACACACTGAACTGCACAGGTCAGGTGATGAAGACAAGAGAAGTTAAGATTTTCAAAAAATGACCAAGTGTATTAAATAGAGTTGAAGATACAATGTATTATATGAACATCAGTCAGGCATGAAAATGTTATGCACCACCGACAACGTCTTCATTCTTGTCACCATCTCTCGAAGCACTATTCCAACCTGAAATGAGAAGGAAAAAGATTCGAAAAGTGTGAAAAGGAAGAAGAAAATTAATGATAATCCAAAGGATTAGCAAACCATTTCAAAATGAAAACCAGCGCCGTACCCGAGACATTCTGCAGGATTCCATGTGTGTAGTAAAATGCAATGAGCCAGAAGATAATTTTCATTGTGAAAAAATTACATAAGCCGTAAGTGTACAGTTGATTTATAACAAAAATTCAAGTAATCAACACGCTAAATATTGAAATGCATGTATAAATCAACTCTTTAAGATCATCCTGATAGGCAGTTGTCACTAGATTGAGACTGATTAGAAGACTGCAATGGCGGTTTCGACCACCTGCCACGCAGCTCATCATCGGTGTAACCTCACGTGTTAATAATTCATGAATTGATCATTATCGGATGTAGATAGGAAATGATTGCGAAAATAAGAGTAACAAGAAACGTTGTGTTTATCTGAGAATAGACACAATGGAAGGCACGAGATGCATTTGCGTGGAAGATGTGACGATGCTTCAAGTTCACCACAAACTGGTCTTTGACCGTGCAAACTCGAAGAAGCGATAAAAACAACCCTAGACACATGTGTAAAACACCTTCTCCAATTGTGACTTACCGGAGTCTTTTGTGGTTATCTTCTTTGGGAAAAATGTTCCTAGAATGCGATCCAAATCAGTCTGTTTGTCGAAAAATTCCACAATCGTTTGAGTATTCTGTTTTTCTGTTCTAGGTGCAGTGAACCAGGATGTTTCTGTTTCCACATTGTTACTACCTGTAAAGAAGTATAAGTTTTCTTTGGTGAATGGGAAACTGTCATCTCAGACATATCCACTCTGCCTACAGTTGACAGTGAAAGAGCCTGTGCAACAATGAAGTCTATTTTGAAGGTGTAACTCAACTGTGGCAGCTCAGTATGTTTCAGCTGTTCATCTGTCGAGATTACGTCATGAATAATAGTTCTACCATCATCATTATCAAAAGTAGTATTTATACTGATCAGTATTACTGGTAGCAGCTGAAGTGCAATTGTAACAGTAGTATTTGTAATGGTGATGACGGTAGAAGTAGTAGTAGTAGTAGTATTCGCACATATTTTATCAGTCATGAAGTGAGACCCAGTGTAACAAGAGTTAATTTTCATTGATAAAATACAGCTGACAGTGGTAAAAATACTGAAACTTACAATATGGTACCCATTTGCAAGCCATCTCATGTTCAACTTCGCACTCCACACAGTTCTTACACCATATATCACGATCCAATAAAGCTTGTTCAGATTACCCGAAATATTATCAGTCCATCGTTTTAGCTTCTCATATTTATATACTACTTAAGTTCATCCTGACAAGCAGTTGTCACTACACTGTTGCCCCACTATTTAAAACGTTTTATCCGGTGCCCTGATGATTAATCGCCTTATGAGTGTCTTCCTCTGTACAGTTCCCGACTCCACTTCGTTTCGCATTAGCATCGACTTCTAGTTCTGATTGCAGTTCACAATTTATTCTTCAATGCCTGGTGGTCGCATAATCCGGGTCAGGTTTCCTCGTAACCATCTACTGACTTACAAAATTTTGAGAAACTTTTTCATGATCCCAGGGAGCAGAGGCTGTGGGAAGTGTGTGTGTGTGTGTGTGTGTGTCTGAGAAGCACAATTTGTGGGAGAATGGATGGAGACGATTTGAAAAATGGTGAGAGATTCAATGTTAGCCATTTATTTACCAACGGTTGTATAACGCCTTTTGTGAAATCAACTGTACTGTCCTGAGAAAGGTATTATTGAAAGCCAGATGTCTTCACTGCCTTGTGACATTTGAAACAAAACTTGGTTGAATGTAAGTGAGGTTAATGCTCAGGTCAGTAATCTTTCTTTACTGTACCAAAATGTGAAATCTCTGACGTTTTCCTTATTTTGCTGCTTTTCTTTGCATTTGGATTTCTCCGAGATTTGCTTTCATTTGATATTTTTCCTTTCTATGGGTAAACTTTTCGTCTATCTTTCCATCTCCGGTGATTTGTATATTTGTGTTACTGTTTTACATTTTATGTTTTTCATTGACTTGCACTCTTTTTCTGTTATTTGTAGTCTTTCTTTGCATCACTCGCGAGACTTGTTCTTCTCTGCTCCTTTCCTTTCGGATAAATTTTTCTTTGTCACTATCATCCGACGGTTGAATATCGTCTACGATCTTCTGGTTTTGATGGCTTACATTTTTTGGCTCGCTACCTACTTCGTTGATGGTGTTGTAACTTATTTCGTAGTATCGCCGTTTTTAAGTGAGCCGAAGTTAGCGTTTGTATTCTTATGACTAGCGGTAGCAGTCGTTCAACAAAAGCCAATCGATTGGTCATGGCATCTCTACTTTATCCAGTATTAAATTCACCCATACCTCTAGAAACACCTTAACATTTCAATCACATAGATATTGTTCACAATGCGTTCGAAAACCTTGTCTGTTACCCTCGACACATATCTCCATATGGTTACAAGATTCAGCAGTATCCACCTTCAAAACTAAGGTAAAATGAACATATCAGCATGTTAGTCCACACAAGCAAAAAGAAAATTTAAACAAATAGAATTTGATAGAGAAATGACCAAACCGGTAATGTCAAATTAAAAACGCATACAAGCATATAATCAAGGTTCCAACAATTCGCGATGAGAAAGTTGTCAAGAACACATCTCATAAAAGTACACACATGTAAAATTACCTGAGACATTTCCGTTGCCTCGCTTCACATCTTTTCCGAACAAATCCATCGAGTTCAGCTGTCTGTTGGTAAAGTTGAGCAATTCCTTAGTCGATATATTTTTGTTTCCCAATTTAACGACCCATGTTGTTTCCACGATTTCATCATCATCTGGATAACAAGCAACACAGACATTCACAATACGAGGCGAAACCAAATCAAAAATGCAGGTACTCAGAATATGCATGGAAATAATGAGGATACACAAACTACCACCCGAATGACTGAAGACCGACCTACAGCTAACTGCAGATCCTATCACTGACCGTCGTTCAACTACACTGCACCTATCGATTTACTTGTTTTGTGTCTTACTACACCGTAAGTCAATAGCCACATTCAGCCACTGCCTCTGTTTGAAGACTAAAACTTGTCAGCTAACTGACATCCCAAACAACCTCTAAATTCTTTGTAGCAATATCAGCATAAATGATAGGACTGACAGACCAAATTTGAACTTGATTATCCTCGAGTGCAACTCATATAGAAGTGCATCATATATCAGTGTGTGATGAGAACTTGAAGTATAGAGACCGATGAATTCGATTATGTGTAGCGGTGAACAGAGTCATCTGACGCCAATCGTCGAAACAGCTACTAGAAATCTGTCTTCTGACGTCGCCATACTTAGACATATTCGACTGGTTGGAGACAGGTGCCAGTATACTCTTGGTGAAGGTGTCAGCAATAAAATGTCACACAGGGTGAGGAATGCAACAATATAATAGTTATTTCTTGCTTACAGTAGTCGTCTGTTGAGTTCGATTGTGCCTTTTCATTGTACTTGACAGTCTTCTTCATAATCGGTTCGAACTGACTCCTTGATTTCCACCCACGTTTGCTGCTTGATTTCTTTGAACCCCGTTTCCATTCTTTTGATGTGTCGCCATCTTTGGTATCTTCATAGTGATCCAAGTCATCACCTGTGGCTAAGAGGGATAAACACAGAGACCATATTGACCAAAAGTTGCATTTCAACTGAAAACTTGTAGACAGCATCTCTTTAGGTCGTCTTATGCCAATCAAAATACATCTAGGGCACTTCAAACTCACTTCTGTATCTGTCAGCAAAGTGTCTACTAACAACATGACCTAGGAATTTCTATATCTGCCTACTATCGAAATGCATGTATGTCTAATACTCACTGTGTCTCTCGATTTCGTGAAACTGTCACTTCAATTATTTGGTAAAACTGTGATCCATTCAACCGAACTGCTGATGATTATCTTAACCCTTTTAGGAGAAACAATCTGTCGACAGAAGTCTGCGACATCTGTGGTGCTAAAGATATTGTGCAAAGTTTTGTGCAAATTACAATCAATTTCGACTGGCTTCTGTTGAACTTACTCACTTGCAACACTCAGATGAAGGTGTGAAATGTTTTCTGAAGTCTGACTGATATGATGCAGCCACATCTCTTATATTTCACTGAGTAATTTGTCAATGAGAGAGATGAGCTGGTATAGTGTGTATTGTTGGTGTCACTGACATGCGTGTTGCTGTTTGTGTCAGTTGGTCTAAATGTGAAGTTGTGTTTTAATGTGTAGAACATTGTAGCTTCGTTTGTTTTACTGATCAGTGCGTGTACGTGTACGATCAGTTGTCAAGTGGTAATGTGAATAAGTGTAGCAGGTCTGTGCTCGATAAAGATGATCATTTATGTGTTATGCTTTGTATTCAGCGGATATTCGTCGTAATATTCGGTTGTTTCCAAGTAGGCATTTATGCGAGTATTTGCAACTAGGCAGTGGGCAATTCACACTCCTTTGTAGATTGCAAGTTATTTGGTCCATTCTTTTGCAAGCTGAGTGGACTCCTTATATTTACGAGAAATGTTGTTTTCCCTTGACCTGAAACTTCTAGCGATTGAAGAATTACTGAAATACAACTTTGTTTTGAGGGAGTTTATTCCCTGACACAGCTGATTCTTTGTGGTATCTGTGAAATTATGACTATTTTTCTCTCTCACAGTAGTCCACACGTCTCAGGGAGAATTTTCTACGTAAGATATATTCATTTGTTTTGAAACTAGTCTCGATTTATGGACATACCGTATGTTGGATTCAGTAAGATGCATGGGACAGATTAGGTTTCTTTATGAAGTAAGATGTTGTACGTGTGCAGTTCGGTTGGTGAATCGTCTCATTTTTGAGACTGACAGTTGGTGGTTCAAAGGAGGACAGACCAATTTAATGGGAACCCCCATATTTCACATGCCATCGGCACTGGACATCGAGTTCATTGCAGCGGAGTTCACAAATTTATTCGTCATATTACATCTAGTTCCAAATTCCTCTCAATAATTCAAACTTTCCCGCACCAGAAGCAATATAAGCACATATGAACGATTCAATTTCACTTGCTTCACCTGTCTTCACTGAATGATGCATCTAATAAATCAACTACTCAGGTGCCTAAGCTTTATTTTTATATCCATCTGAACAAGTCAAGCTTGTGCGTTCGACTGACATTTGTGCAGCTACCTTCCTTGCACTACCGACCAGCACATCAACTACGCATAAGTGACGCCTCCATCAACTCAACTTTTAAATTTTATTCTTATTCTTCCTCCTTCTACACTCAGTAGGCTTACATGATAGATAGCAGGAATCGACCACCAGAAGAAATCGCTTACTCTTCCTAGCCATCAGCATTATGTCAAATTTCATTTGAGAAACAGCTTGCTACAATTGACTCAAATTTGCTATGCGTGATAATTTTATTCCTTGACTACAGTTCTTATTTCTTGGCTTAATCGTCATCTTTTCAGTGTCTCATTTTCGACATTCTTTAATCAGCTTACCCCACATCACTAGGTTAATACGTTGGTTTCCTATAATGGGTCGGATTGATAGAGTTTTGTCGACGAATGGGCTCCTGCGCAATAAAATGAATATTCGGGAAGTATCGAGGCCACCGTAGAGGGACGCATCTGCGGTTGTTAATGCCTCTATTCGAAGGTTTTTTATGCTGTGTCTGTTATGTAGACGCCGAATATCTTCCGTTTTCTTACGAGTGATTTATTGAGCATTATTTATGCTTTCGCGCCTTACTTGGTGTCTAGCGTGTGATTATTTTTATTGACTCCTTGATTTGCGGCTTAGCTAGCCTTAGCGAGCATTTATCAATCTCGTCTTCAGTTTTTTTATTTTTATTGCTAGTGGAGTCTTCTTTTATGGAACAGCTTATCTGGTTTACCTGGTAGCATGCTTGTTGATAGCCTTTCTTTTCTTGATCTATATAATAAATATGAGGTGTGTGTTAATGCAGGGATGCGATTAGAAATTTAACACTTATTCCATGACAGTGGATATAGAGAAGAAGGAAGATTATCCGACCGGCACGATCCATGAATGTTTACAGATCGTACAGACTGAATTGCATGCTGGTGATAAATTTTGATAAATAGATGAGATGTATGTGTGAAAAATTGGGTGGGATTTAAACTCAGTACAGAAATAAAACTATTCTATTGGTTGAAGTTGAGACTTTCAGTGTGTTTGCGGAATTTCAATGAAAGATTTTGTTGGTGCATCACAAATCAGACAAATTTATATAAGTATTGAGAAGTGGGATCAAGAGAAAGAAGTCATTGAAAGCTGAGAATAGAGGAGAGAATGGAAGGGACACTATTTGTACGAGAGTTTGTTGTAGAAAGTGTACAAAAATGGAGACAGGATGCCTATGAGTAATGTCAACTGGATTGAGTGAATTCATAGTTGAATATGCATATTCGACAAAACAGTGGGACGGCTGCAATGAAAATGAAGATGATAGTGAACTCCATTTTCAGTTAATGTGGCAAAAGCGATACCCGTCCTGGTGAAATGACCAGGTGGATGAATGAAACTGGAGTTGGTGTTGATGTATCTGAGTAGGTGTTGTGTTTTCACGATAGGAAGTCAGCTAAGAATCTTTCACCTTTGAATATTTTAATTTTTTTTACGTGGATAACAAGCTTCAGATTTGCCTTGGACTTTAATGTAGTTTTTTTGTGAATGTTTTGCTGCTTCTAATGTAATAATGTTGCATATACTGAAAGGAATTGACTTGATCTCTGATGATTTTAATTGAAAAATATATTTTCAGAAAGTCTATCACCAACTCTTCATATAGAATGCCGAAGTATATGTGCTTGTCGTTTTCAAAGGATGATGGATAATTTGGTCAAATATTTACCCCCATTCGTAGATAAATACACAGCAATGTCTGCTGCAATTCTCTCAGACGCTTGAATTTCTTCATTGAAGTCATTTTATATAGGTTACTGTCATCAATTTATTGTCTAGAGTTAGTACTTATTTGTTTGCACAACTAGGGTTCACATACAACTCTGAAAACATGTGGTTTCAGGTTATGTATTTTCTAAAACCATTAGCAGTGTCCTGAGTAAATATGCTGTGGTTTCAAAAATTATGGCTGAGATGCAGACAGTGATATGAATTTAAAGACGATATGATGATTGGAAATCCAGATCTCGATATTTCTCATTTGAAACTGATTGATGAACTGTAAATAAAGTGACGTTTTCCTTGATTATTATGTTGGTTGAAAATGCATGACGAAGTTATGAAACGTGAGAGTGGCAGCTTCCCGTAGAAAGCGTTACACACGGCAAACTGCAATATCAGATTTTCACCACAAAAAGTCAGAGAAAATGTTAAGGTTATGTTGACAAAGTGACATGTCCTCAAAAATAATGTTGACAGTAGACGTCAAAAATCAGACTTAGATATCTTCTTGATTAAAGTCGCTTTATACGTACGTACAGAAATGGGAGACATGACGCCTAGCACCAAGAAACACAGCATAAAAAAATCAAAAAAAACAAAATTTGAAGACATCGATAAATTTCACAATGCTGAATAAAACAGAATCGAGCGGGAAAGAAAGAAAGAATCATAAGTAAAGCCAAGTAAGGAACAACGGGACTCGAAAGAACAAGAAACAGGAGGAAAAAAGTGAAAGGGAAACAAAGCAAACAGGAGAAAGAACAGAGGAAATCAAAAGACAGAACAGAGCATAGGGACAAGATCAGGACTAAGGAAAACAAAAAATGCAAACAATTAGTGGGAGAGAAAAAGACATAAAGTCATTGAGAATAGGTGTTATGAAATGTATCAGAAATACCGAGGGGTAAATGCGTGGTTTCCATGTGTGTCAATCTCAGAAGTAGATCGAGTGACAGCGCCTGCGATCGTGCCTCTGACCGATCTAATTCATGCGTTTCTGTGCGCGTGAATAGGCACAGATGGGCGTTGTGCGTGATGAGGGACAAGTGAGCGTATGAGTGTGAACAGGTATGGGTGTATCTCTCGACAATGCGTGATACTGCATCATATGAGTGACTGTGAGCTGTCATCAGTAAGTGAAGTGCTAACCTGTGACTGAATCTTTCACAAAATATCGGCGAAAAATATCATAGAATAAAAATGAATGCGAGAAACAGTCCAAGGCAAATATATGTGTAGGCGGGAGGAACTAATTAGAATTTCACTGTCCGGAAAAGTAAATCTGGGGGAGAAAGATTAAGAGTGGGCGGCCGGAAAAGATGTGCATACAAACCAAAAATTCAGCGTGTGAACAAGCTAGTGAGTGAGTCAGTGATTGACTGGGTACTTGCGTGTGTATGCGCTTGTGCTCCACAGTCAGTCGTATTGTCAGTGTGATGAATGAGATTGATGATTTGTATGAGACATACCGAGTGGTTGGTGTGTGGTTGATCGTCTCCTCCTGCGTCGGCCTGTGGCCACCACCTTTCCCAACTTGTCGGTCACGTTGACGACTTCTCCTTCCTCCGGTGTCGTCGATCCACCTGCAAGGGAGAAGGGGGAGACTGTGTCAGCGTGTGGCTTGCTGTCTTTGCATGTGTATTTGCATGTGCCTGAGTGCCAGTGTCTCTGCATATATCTTCACGGAGGATGGAGATTAACAGTGAATTCGCTTATAATTTAGGCTACACAAATATGAATAAATCTGCCTGTGTTTTGCCTGTATA